TGTCTCGGATCGGTGGAACTTGCGATAAAGCTTTTTAAAATATTTGCCAATCGGTAACAGAGCCTTCTCCACATCATCTCTATTTAAATCGGACTCGTCAATGTTGTACGCTTTATACACTTCTTGACTCATTTTTCGAACTTTTTCAATTTCACTTCCTTGGGTTTCCTTCCAGAGTTGCAGCAACTTACGCTTATCAATTTTAACTGAACAAAAAAGTTAACATGTTCCTTCAATGTTTCACAATTTTCAATAAGTTTTACGAAGATTAAAATCAATACCTGATGAATAATTGGACATTTTCGATGGATGTTTCTTGAAAACGATGTTCTGATCTTCTCTTGGTACTTGAAATGCAGTAACAGGTCTTACGACAGCAGCCGACAAACTATTTTTTTTTTTTCAAATAAAATATATAGTTACTTTGATCATTTTTCCTCCTTAAAAACAAATTACAGTCGAATCTCCCTAGCTCGATATCAAAGGGTCCATTGTGTAAGAGAGGATGTCAAAAGCTTTTTATATTAAAAACATCACTTTTAAATTCGGTGTTATGTTTTGATTAATCTTACATGTTATTTTACTTTTAAGTTACTTTAGAATAAGTAAAAACAAACTAGAAATTAAACAAAAAATCAAGACCATTGTTAGTTAGCAAAATATCGTTTTTACTTGAATAGCCCCATACAAAAATCTTAAATCTTTGTTTACTAAAATCCACCACAGTTTTCAGGATACTAACGGATACTAATGATCTCCACAACATTTCAAATACAAATTTTGAGCTTTCAAATGAAACTTGTTGCAAGTGCGGCAATTTGCGGCCAGCTTAGTTATAGCTTTTTGAAAAAGGGTGATTTTTTGCTTAAAAATCACTGTATCTCTCGTTAATCAAATCATAGCACTTTGGTGTCTTGAGAAAAGTTGTGTGTTTAGATATTATCTAAAACTTTGCAGAATACACCAAAGAGATACAACGTGAATAAGACATAGAAAAACTCAAACAACTGATTTTAAGGTGCAACTGGAAAATAATCTCTTATATCTTCATACAATGAAGTCATGGCAACTTGATGTCTTCAGCAAAGTTTCTTGAAATAGAAAGCCCTACAACTTTGTAGAAGACATCATCTCGATATCTGTTAATATAAAAAAGTTAGTTTTTTGAAGTGCAGTTGCACCTTAAGAAAAATTAAGGTGAACATTCCAAAAGGTGCGGAATCCAAAACTATGAAAATCTTCTGAAGACACCTCAATGCTAAAACGTACGTACATTTCAGAAAACAATTAAGTTCACGAATTTGCACTTTTAAACCACAGTGCATTGCAGGGAACGTTTTTCTACCGTCTGGATAAAACAGGAGGAAAAACCTGCCATCTATCCGTCACTAATCCAAAACACTCACATCGCGTCAAAACAATCACCCCCCGTTACGGCGCCGCCTTCAAAAACATCCCTAAATTCAACGCGCCGCGCCAATCAGTTTTGCCGCACACGAAAAAGTGACAGCTCCAAACAGTCAAAACAGCCAACATCGCACGCACACCAGCAGCCGTTTTCCGTGTTCTTTTGCCTTCGTCTGCTACTCGCACGCAGAGCGGTCCAAAGTAGTGTCCGTTCGAACGCGAGGAGTGTATGAAGACGAAAGCGAGCGACCACACAATCGTACCAAGCTGCGAAAAAAGAGGCAACCATTTTTCTCCATCGAGTCTAAAACGAGATTGTGCAGATTTTTCGTTTTCCATTGTCGTCGTCGTCGCGCGGATTGTGCCTCCAGAAAATAGTACTAGATTGTAGGGATTGTGCTTCCGAGTGAAAATCAATTTGGACTTGCAGTGGCAACGGGTCGGGTGCGCGGTTTATCGAGTGTTGAAATAAATATTTTTCCGAGTTAGGGCCGGACGCGAAGGGTGCAAAACGCGTTCCGCTGGTCAGCCAGCAGCAAGAAAGAAGCACTCGCAGCAGTAGCACCACTGGGTGGAAGAAAAAACGGCAGTCGGAGTGTGTAGTGTTTTTTTTTTTCTTCTGCCTTCCGAATGTGGATGTGTTTATGAGTGAGCTCTTGAGATAATTTTTCGCGTTCCTCGCCAGATCAGAGGAGTAACGCTGGAGGAGCAGGAAGATATTTCCAAATTCCCGAAGGGGATTGGCGCAGTGGAGCTCCCGTGAACGACGGAAAGATCCGGATCAAGCAGGAAGAAGGTGAATTGAATTTTCGCACCCGTATGGGGAGTGTTATTACGCTTCGCTTTTGGCTAGCTGCGACAGCAGTCCGGAAGTGAAGGAATTTTTCATTAGAGCATCGGATCGGTGGATTTGGGGCTCATCCGAAATCCCTCGAATGCTGCTGCTCTTCCATTTTGACGTTTTGTGCTGATGATGTTGATTGTGCCTGCTGCTGGATCGAATCGAAACGGGCCGCGAAGAGAAATCTTTTACCCACAGCCAAGGAAACGAAGCAAATAGTGTGTGCAGTGTGTTAATGTATCTGTGTGCAATGTGAACACCATGGGAAGAGAAATTTTGTTTTCTTCCATTCGCAACTTCCTGGCTTCGGTGGGAATGGCTGACGTAGGAAAAAGTGGAAAAAGGAGTGACTTTTATATCACCTATTTGTATGGGACAGTAAGGATTAGCCTACCACCCAGAAGGATAACCATCCGGTAGTGGTGTTGCGATGGGGGGAAGAGCAAGGCATATTGCGGAATGTTGCATCCATGTTTTCCTGCTACCTAATACTTCTTCTTGAGGCCGATCCGAGTGATTAGCCAGCCATGTCAGCCAGGCAGGAATGAAGAAAAAGGTGTAATTAAAAAATCGAACTCGAGCGAAAGTGAGAGAGCGAGAAAATAATCTATGCTCGCATCATCATTTCCACAGGCATCGAAACGAAAGAAAGAAAGAGCAGCAGTAGAAGCATAGCTCTGACAGAGCTCCACAGCCAGCAACAGCATGGAGAAGGGATGATTAAAGAATTGGCGCTAATGTTTTTATGCTCGCGCCCTGCTAGCCGAGCTTTTTTTTTGTCTTCTTCTTCTTTCCGTCCAGTGTTTACTGGGTGTTGTGAATGCGATTATGACGAAAAGATGTCGTGCCAGTGCTATCAGATCGGATTGGAATCCTGTAATATATGTGTTGTAACTATATCCTCCTATATCGCATTATGTTAATAAATATTTTAAGACCGATCTCTAGAATATTTCACTTAGAATGTTGAGTATTTCTACAAACTCGGAATTATTGCGTTTTCCTTAGTACAAGATATCGAAAATTAAGTTTGAGATCTTAAAAACATATCAATGTTCCAGAGTTTCGAAAGTTCAAGATTGTGATGATTTTCCTAAATGATTCCTATAAGGATATTATATAATTTCTAAGAATCAGACACGTTATGGTTTGCTGTCAGACGCAATCTAAAAAAATGTTGGATGTATTTGGAGGTAAAACCTTTACAATTTGGATATTTGCATCGGCTCTGATTATCTGACCACAACTTGATCCAGTCGAACATCTTTAGTTGGTGCTGGCTGCGCAGGACCTTTGTGCTTCTTCTGCTGTAGTTTCTGCTCAATCCCTGAGCTATTCGGTCTACCACGTTTTGTAGATGGCAAACCAAGGTTGCAGAGAGTGTCTGCCAACTAGCCTGAATTTCCTGAGGGTCAAAATATCTCAATTATTTGCATGTGAAACCTTCTTGTAGATTATCCACGCATTCACGATAGCCATATCTAGCAGGTGATAGAACAGACGAATGGTCCACTTGCGAGTTTTTGCTGTTATTCGGTAACGACCAATGAAGCTATCCATAAGGTCCACTTCACCCATGTGCGCGTTGTATTCCCTCACCGCTTTCGGACATTGTATGGATGTTCGTTTATGTGTTTTCTTGTCATACCTGGATATTGTGCTGACTGGTTCCGCTCCAACATATGTATCGCACTAACTTGGACACCATCAACAGTTGTAATACATTCCTTGTAAAATCTCTAGGATTATTCTTCTTCATAATTTCCTTCTTATCCGGCAGTTTCACATTTTTCAATCGGTTTACCCTTACTGTACCGAGGGAATGGATGTCTTCTTTGGCAAGATGTGTTACCAGAGGAAAAGAGGTTTAGGAATTGTCAAAGTACAAAATATGGCATGGATCGTATCAATCTTGTAACTACATTTCCGGTTTCACCCAAATTTGGCTCACCTGGTAACAGATTAATATGCTTACTGCTCCAGAATAAAATTCGAAATCATGAGCAAAGCCATTTATGCTACAAAGAAGAAACAACTTGAAGCCCCATTTGTGTGGTTTATTAGGTAAATACTGCTTCATATAGTGAGCCATTTTCGTAGCACACATTTGCTCCTCGACAGATAACTTCTGTTCCATGGGTACTTTGCCGAAACTTTCTCTAAGGGATTCTATAACTGGTCGTATTTTATAGAGTCTGTCGTGTTGAGGGTCTTCCTTAGACAATATTCCTTCGTTATTGTTGAAATGAAGAATGGATCCATTTTTGAGGAATGCAGACTGAGACATAGTTGACCGAATAGGATCATAACCATATTTGCTACACCAATATGACTTCATATTCGGTAGCTTAGGTACCGAGCTGTATATCAATATACCCAGATATTTATTCAAATCGGTTCTGGTGATGCATACCGGATTGGAGATATTCCTTTGAGCTGCATAAGTATTGCTTTCGTCGACGATTTTGTCCCTCAGGTCCGTTGTGAAGAAATACGAGAAAAAATCGTATGGCGTTTCGCATTCCAACAACTCATCGGGTAACCTGGCATCACCCTGGAAAATTATCTTATCTTGATCGAAGTCCGTGTTTCCGTTCTGCCAGACAGGCTTAGCAATAGTCCTTTTCAAAGGTTTGGCAGAGGGTCCAGCTTGTCCATTCGAACTGAATTCCTCATCTGAAAGTTCTTCCGGGACAGGCTGTGCGTCGTCAAATTCTGAGTCGGAGTCATCGAGATCTGTACCGATGTATAGTGCTCATGCTCATACTCAAAATCTGAATCTGACTGGTTAAAACCATCCTCAGAATCATCTCCAAATATCGTAGAATCTGTTCATCAATAGAACATGCCATTTTTACCTAGAAGGAATTAAAAGACGCTGTAAAGGCGCAATGGTGTTTTAAAACAACACACAATGTTTGGACAAAAAACGCATGTTTCATTGTTTCTTTCGCAAAACTGTTATCACTCGCTTTAGATAACATAATTTACTATAGATTAGTAAATTTTTTAAACACTTACCTGTATTTATCGCACGAAATATTTGAGCTAAAATAACGTATGTCTAACTTATCGTAGGTATTCGCTTTCTCATGTTTTGACAGTAAAAATCTGAACAACAAACTTTGACACAGTACTTCCAGTTTACTTATTTTCTCATTTGAAGATTTAAGAACTACTACAATGCATCATTTATTGGAAAACTTGTAAAATTTATGTGATCTGGATCGTTTTCCGGTATGTTGTTTTAAAACAACATGGCGCATTTAAGGGTTAAATTTTAAAACCTTGAAATATTTCATGTCAGAATCTAGAAAATTTCCCCATGGGTATTGAATTGACTTCTGGCGTATATAGGATTTTTCTAGGTTTAAGATCTCACACATCACTGTTACAACTTTTCATTAATTTCAAGCCTCATAATATTGAACAGTTTTCTTAAACCCGACCAGTATCAGGCACAAATAGTATAAAAAATTAATACTCGACCTTCTTCGTTTTGCTTTAAAATTTTGTTGGCTATATTTGCAAAAATCGGCCATTTTGGATCATGTATTTAATTTTGTTTCAAAATGGCGTCTGACATTTTTCAATAATTTGTACACGGAGAAACGAAAGAACTCAAAATTAAGTCATTTGTACCACTGGCATCCCGCAATCTCACTTTTTACCTGTGCACCAGCTTTCAAAACCAGATTTAATGTCATGTCACTCGATATCTATCCATTGCAAGCAATATTTTGATAATTGTTCATATTTTTAGGCAGAGGCGTCGCGTGCCTCATTTGTTTACCTGTGCACCAAACTTTGTTTCGAATAGTTTACCACCACATATTAGTTTTTGCATTGAAAAGCTCCATGAATTCGAGGGACATATTCTCAATTACTATATTAATCACTACCTAACGTATGATTTGAACACTAGTATGGTCCTTTTCGCGCTAACCGAAGTAAGAGGAATTGCAAAACGTAACTAATTCTCGTTTTTATCACAAGGCCAACTTTTTCGACTGAAGAGGAATAAAGAATATCCGTCAAACACTTCCTAAAACATTTGTTGATACAAAACAGTGTCAAAATCTAGAGAAAATTTATGAAGTCCCCTCGGTAGCAAACTTGAATTAATCAACACTTTATTCATCAGAACAACACTATCAGAATGAACCAGGGGAAGCTCATAAGTTGTGACTGGCGCAACGGCGCATCCATCGGTAATTGAGAGATTTACAACTGACAAGAGAGTGAGAGCGAGCTATTGCGCTCTCTTTCTCCATTACTCTCTTTGTCTGCAATCAGATATCTAAGTGCACAGCGAAAAATGCACGCTTTAGGCACCCATACATCACAAATGTTCTTCTAATTTGAACTCACACATTCAAACCGATTTGCAAGTATGATACACGTCCAAAGCGTACCAGACTGCTGTTTTCGTGTTGCTCCCGTTTGACGCGTGACTGCTGAAAGTTCCAATTACAACTAGTGATGTAAACCGCCATATATTGTGGAAAATTTGTGGTATGCTTCAAGAGGTGATAGAAAGTCTGCTTGGCTTACACCAGGCATTTGACCATTCACAAACTTACCACGAGTCTTGTCATGGTAGTGATATCGACATGCTTAGAAATCAATGCATTAGGGATTAAGCAGACCATCTGAACTGAATTTAATCCTTTTTGAAGCAAATCAAGGTCAAAGATTTCATTGAGTCACACTATAAAAAAGTGTATTCATGATCACTTGTGGTCTGGAGTAAAGAAGTACAGCTATAATGTGACCATAAAATCTATTAAAATCTGTGTCGTGCACAGGTTGCACATGTGGACGCGACGCCACTGTTTTTATGGTTGGTCACAGGTAGATTGAGGTTAAGGAAACGCCAATGATGATACTAGATTCCCTTTCACAGATTTCAGAGTAGAGTACCTAACTTTAGATTGGCCCCGCCTTTAGAAAATGAGCACCAATCATGTTAGGCAGTCGGCATGACCAAAGTAACAATCATGTACCCATCATTTCAAACTGTACATTGGACAGTGTTTGACCTATGATTATCTTAAATAAATGAAAGTAAATTTGGATGGATGTTTTTGTATCACATACAATGATAGAAGAGCAATAGTTTGTATCGCTTAACTCGATTTGTTTACATTTTTTACTTAGGATCTTTTGAAAAGTGACGTGAGAATTCTGGGATATACACGGTAATGTTTTTAGTAATTTTGAGTAAAAATTCAAAAAACTATGCAGTCAAGATTCTGGGGGTACTTGTTGACAGGTCCCTCAACTTCAAGCAGCACTTTAAGGCGATCAAGATCGACTGCCGCGGTAGGAGCATCTTGATCTGCACCATCTCTCGCCCTCACCGGTCTAACAATCGCGACACTCGTTTCCGGGTTGCAAGAGCCGTCATCGATAGTCGCCTACAGTACGGTCTTGAGATGACGTGCATCGCCACAGAAAAGCTCGTGCAGATACTAGCACCAACTTTCAACACCTACGTTCGGATCTGGTCTTCTTCCGTCAACGCCCACCGATGCCGCATGCATCGAAGCGGGTATTCTGCCCTTCCGCCATCGTATAACCGCAGCAATTGCAACGAAAGTCGCTGCCTTTACAGCAATGACCTCCGGAAATGACAGGATCTTTCTCCTCGATAAGGGGAACAGACTCCTCCGCATGACTGCCAATTCGGAGCTTCCCGCAGTGGCCAAGGTCCACTGGTACGGAGACAAAAGTTGGCGCATACCTCCACCAAAAATCGAGAGTCGGATAAAGAGCAGGTTCAAGGCTGGAGATAACTCTGCAGCGCTGAGGAGAACAGTAGTCGAACTGCTAGGCTCGGACTACCCAACCCATTCCCATCCATTTCAGAAGTACCTATTCCCAGTCTGCGAGAGGGTTTTACCAAGGTGTTCTTCAATCCAGAAAGTGGACATATTAAAATAACTTTGCATTGTCATGATAAATATTTTTGCGTGAATATTTTTGAATAAAAATCGTTTGATATGTTTATGTTCTATTGTATTTAATGACAAACCCAGTTCCTCATTTCAGGGCTGGTAGCGAGTCACTTTTTTCAAGCCAGTCACTAAAAAGTCTCCTTTTTTAAGACCAAGTCACTAAAGTCACTTTTTCTTGTAATCAGTCGCAATTTTCAACTTTTTAAGCGTGAATTTATTTCAAGATTGTTCATTCTTCGTGTACGAATGCCTACATTTTGTTCTAACTTTCGAACAATTCTAAGAAGCTTTGTGACGTTTGATCGTCTTTCGAGAATTTCAAGGAAATTTAAAGGGGTTTACGGAAATTCCATTTATTTCCGAGCAGAACCGAGATCTTCAATAGAATTGAAAGCTTTTGGGAAGCTTCGAGAACATCAAGACAGAAAAATCCAAGGGCAGTTCAAAAAATGTCAAGGAAATTGTAGGAACCTTAAAGAAGTTTCGAAAACTTCAGCAAAGCTCCGAGAGAATTTCTGGTACGTGATAAAAAATATATGAACATCCGTAAAACGTGAGAGTATTTTAAGGATGTTATATCATGGAGATTTCAAGAACTTAAGAAAAGGGGAAAATTTAGCTAAGTTGATTAGAGAACATCAAAAAAGTTCCATTAATTTAAAAAAATGCGAGAACTTTTAGCAAGCAGCGATACCTTCAAGAAATTCCAGAGAACTTTTAATAAATTTAGATATTTATAGATAGTGTCATGATATTCAGCAAAGTTCCGAGTATTTGGACGACAATCAGATAGCTTCAGAATAATTCCATTACCTTAAGAAAAAATGCAGCGACTTACAAGGAGTTCCGTGGAATTATGGGGTTTTCCAAGAATTCTGTGATTGATCTGAAAACGTCAGAAGCGTCAAGGAATTATGAATATATATCAGAAAGTTAGCCGGATTATTAAAAAAATATATAGAACTTCAGGTAAGCATAGTTCAGAAAAAAATTAGTGAGCGTTTAAAATGGTTATAATAGTTAAGGAAAATTGTCGAAACATCCAGGCAAATCATTTAATTGCGGGTTCTCAAAAATACTGATAAATTTTGGGCAGTTTAGAGAACTTTAAAGAAATTCGTATAGGCAGTTTTAATAACACCAGGAAAGTCTAGACTATTGAAGAAGTTTTAAATTAGTGTCGATAATTTTAATTTAATGGAAGTTTAATGAACTTCAGAAAAATCTGGAGAACTGAAGAGAAAATCATATTAATTATTTTGTTCAAATTCCATGAAAATTGCGGGTGTACAAATTTAGAAAATTTTCGATAACTTCACAGAAGGACAGTGGTCTTCAGAAACATTTCGAGAACTTCATATAAATCTATGGAGCTTAAGGGGAGATTCGCGAACTACAGAAATTTTTAAAACATTTGAAAGAAGTTTTGTAAGCTCCGAAAATTCCGAAAGCTCCGAACACCATTAGTTTGGGAAAATTAGTGAGAAATTTAATGCAGTTCCCAGATTTTCACGTTACTTCAGAGACGTTAAAAAGTCAATTGAGGTCTTCGCATAAGTTCACGGAAGCTCAAACATTTTTAGGACAGTTCAACAACAACAAGCTTCATGAGAACTGCAAAAACTTAAGAGAAGTTTTGAGAATTTCAGAATAGAACAGAGAACCTCAGAGCAATTTCGTTAACATTAGAGAAGTCATATAAATTTAAAAAAAGTTCAAGAACGTTAACAACGCAAAGCTGTCTCAAAACTTTGAAATAATTTTTATTTAATTCAATTACACTCAACTAACATTGGTTCCCGTTTGTGAAGTGATAATTTTTCTCGTGAACTAATGCACAGTGGTCCTGGATTGAAATTTTGAAAAACGACAGTTCTAGTGCTTTTGTTTTAAGTTTTAGACTGTTGGTGTATTCGGTGAAGATTGTTTTGTTCAAAAAGCTATTATTTACCTATGCTTCCATGTATTCAGTGATAACCATCCGATCTGGCAGCACTGGTTCCGTTTAATTACATACCAAGTTGTTTACGTATGCACATCCAGCTCTAATCAAAAACCGTATTCGTGTGTGCGTTTCGGTGTTTCTTTTCTCGTAACAAATAGCATCACCAGCAGCAACAATAACAACAACACCCAGCGGCAGGAGGCAGAGAACAGGTCTTCGAGTTCTCTCTCCACCAACACGGGAAGTAGCTGTCTACCTCCGTTAGGGACTCGAGGGCATGTTTTCCACTTTCATTGGACTAATCGGTAAGTTGGTTCCATTTTCTTAAAGTATTCCCTGTATGATTTTCCATGATCCGTTCCTTCATAAAACACACTCACACACACTCAAACCCTCGCCCCATCAAAAAGGTGCCGACAGCAGGGATGAAAGTATGCTTAGTAGCTTGTTCCTCCGATCCATCTTTTTTCTTTAAGCTACGCCCCATCTCCTGGGAGCCACCAATCTCACCCAGCAAGAAGGAACAGCTGGTCGGTGTTCATTTTATCCCTTCTTTCCTTTAAATGGGCGGAATATTTTCTCACATCCAGTTCTCTTTAGATGTCTTCTGAATGGGAGAGAGAGAGAGTCTTGGGGCTATGACGCTCTTTCTTAAGTCATATGGCAAAAGAAAACAACACAGTGTACCAGCAGCTAGAACTAGGCTCCGAAATCGGGCGCGTATTTCCGGAGCGGATTGAGATAAGGGTGCAACTGCTTTTGTAAACAATGAGTTCATTCGCCAATAAAAACCCACTCTCACAAACTATCAACACTATCAGGTAGGGAAACGAATCCTCTATCAGCTGATATTATAGTATGTTTGCGAGGGCGTGTTTTTATTCAAATAATTTAAACTCTATGTGCATATCATAGAAGATGCCCGATTAATTATTTTGGCCTCGTGTGAAAATTCTGTAGGATTTCATAGAAGAGGTCCTCCTAGCACTACTCTTGTGTCGCGAGGTATTTTTCAAGGTCATCTGGACTAATCCATTGCAGTTCGTTGTATTTTAGCCTTCTAGATGTCTGTGTGCCTCGCCTTAGGCCTTGTCTTGGAAATGTATTAGACCTATCCTCAAATACCCGTAACACAGCTTACCCTACCTCAAAATCCTTAATTCACAGACATCAAAATGGAGCACGTGGTACTTAAAAATGCATTTACAAAAATCCCTCGTTTACAACCGATGGAGCTGATTTTTTTTTTGTACGTGATGAGTTTAGCTGTGTGATTAGTATCAGTCATAAACTAGTCAACTGCGCAAATCGATCAAACTTTACTCCGAATTCCATGAAGCTGTGCATAATTTTTTGCTACACACTTAGAAATAATTACCGGCTTCGGTAATTTGTACCGAACTTTCAACATCTGAACAGTTCGGTAAAAAATAGACATTTTAATTGATTAGATTTAAAGCTTCAAGACAAGAAAAACTTTTCCACAATGGCAAGACTCGATTATTTAAACAAGACTGACAGTGTTTTGAAATTAAAATTTAGTGAAACAGCTTTTGAAATAAGGATCAAAGTTTCAACTGTTGAAAGTTCTGTAAAAAGAATACCAAAGTCGGTAATAGTGAGCCGTTTTCGTTCTCTTATCTAGATAGAGCTGGAATTAGGGCGAAACAGCTTTTGTAAACAATGCCTTCTCTGGATGATTTCTTGAAAGCCATGGCTCTCCCTGGCAAATAGACATTACCGTCGAATAGGGGAAGACTTCCTCTACTCGATGGATATGTTACTTTATAAAGGCGTGCCTTGAATTCCTATAAATCATCGAGATAAGTCATTGTTTACAAAGGCTGTTACGCCCTAATTCCAGCTCTATCTAGTTATGATTTATGAAACATATCGAATACGCCATTTCAAAAAATTCGATGTTGTTCAAAATGGCGTAGGAAAACAAGATGTCAGTTACGATGAGGAACGAATCATGGAACTGAATGTCGGTTGGCTGGTAAAGCGTTACGGAATCAAACACGGTAAACGACTACTGATAAAACTACCACGGTCAGATGGTGGCCTTTGTATGGACACCGATCCCCTTACGACCTTCTGTGCGTCTCAGATTCCATCCAGTTCGAAAAGCTGCGTTCAGATCTACGAGGCTTATTGCAAACATCGCGATGTTAAAATGCTTACCGAACTGCTCCAATCGCTGGGCACCATGGAAAACACCGGTCACTTTACACTTCACCGGAACTTCTTCTCCGCTAAGCCTATAAATATTCTATTTCAAGCGCTGGGTTACCAGGGTCGTGTCCGAGAGCTAAACCTATCCTTCAACCAACTCACCGATGTCCACTTTCAGGAGCTCACCTTCAAGCCCAACAACTGACCAATCAACATCTTACAATTCCACTTAACCACCTTCGGCAGTGATTTCAGCTCCGTCACGAATCTCCCCGCCCCAAATCGTTCTACTAACGTCATCAACGTTCTCTGCACTTCCTCCTTCAGGGTATCGCTCTCCCAACTAAATCAGGACGATGCCACCCCACAATGTTTTGAAAATATGTGCGCTGTGAGGCAGAACTTCGCCGGAAATTCACGGTTGAGGTTATGAAAATTGAATTGTGTCAACAACAATGATAAACATAGAGATTGCTGACGTTTATCGTACGCACACTACGGCACGTATACGTATACGCAAAATGTTTTCATCGGGAAAAAAAAACTTCATAGCGAAAAATTTTCCCGATGAAAACAAATCACTGACACAATCATACTTTAGCAATCTCTATTGTGCAGGGAAGTGGCAAGTGAACCAAGAAAACCAGAAAAATGTCGGGGGTTTTGTTTTACCAGGAAAAACCGGGAAAAAACCGGGATTTTAAGCAAAACCAAGAAAATAATAATTCACAGATGCATGTCGGTTTGAAATGATGACGTTACTATTTATATGTGATGCGTGCAAAATAATATATCTGTATATTGCCAGTTCAGAGAAAATTAGCATTTGGCGTCAGATTTGGCAACCGAAATTGACAATCGTCACTGACAGCTACTTTTGGGATTTTCGAACACTGAACCAAAATCGTTCTTTGAAGACCGAGTTGAAGACCTTGTTCGCATGACAACACAAAAAAATATGAAAGGAAACATTCAAAACAACAATTCATGTTGAAGTTCGCAATTGAATAAATCTTGAAATATTTGAATAGAAAAATAAATTAAAACTGCTTTTCTGCGCATTGGCAAAAGAAGGTCCTCCAACCAACCTATGGACTACTACACTATTTCATTTCATGAGGATACCGTCTCCACCATTATTTAGTAGATTCTAGGTTTACATGGGGTTCCAGTATAGCCTGATTTATACAATTGATAATCCAGCGGATCGGGTCGATTGCATCAAGAGGGATCGATTTGTCTTCAACCGAGGCTTCGAAGAAAGATAGTTATTATCCGGTTGTGTTTATGTTTGACAGCTACGGATGTTGCTTCTTATTTGTGAAATGTCGATGCATGCTAAGATATGTGTGAATCATCAATATGCAATTAATCATATTGTCGAGCAGTTTTGGGACTACCTTCTACCGGCGATTTTACGGAAATGAAACAATAAATTCCAGATTTTTCAAGCATACAACAAATAAGAGGCTATTTTCTCGAGGTTGTAGAAGAAAAAATATCAAAATTTTGTTCCACGTTAAAGTTCGAGTGGTAGGAAACGTCATTTTAAACTGCTCGAATGATGTGATCCATACACTTTGATAATCGAGCAGAAAAGCATCAGAGGTTTAGGCCGTTCGCAATGCTGAGTTTCAAAATTGTTTTAAACTACTCGTCAATTCTATAATTTGAAACTGTCAAAAATAAAACTGCAACACGATCAGCGCAACGCACAGTTCTAAAAGATGTTTGTAATCATCAAGTTCCATAAACTTTACTGTTCTCTATGAAATTCTCCGTTTTTATTTGTGAAGCTCTCGAAACATCTCTAAGGCCGTTCGCAATGCTGTTGTATTTTATAAGGATTGTTTCAATTTGAAACTAGAACAGAAACGCACCTCTCGCAATGCTGAGTTGCAGTTTCATTATTCGAGCACTATTTTGCACCAGATTTGCAACTGCTCGACTATTCTGTTTTATTTCTGAGCGAGTTTGAAACACGAATGGAACTCTGTTTCAAATTTCTTTGTATATATTTAAAGATGTTTCGAAGAGCTTCACAAACAACTCTATGAACTTCATAGAAAACAGTAAAGTTTATGGAACTTGATGATTACAAACATCTTTTAGAACTGTGCGTTGCGCTGATCGTGTTGCAGTTTTATTTTTGACAGTTTCAAATTATAGAATTGTCGAGGAGTTTAAAACAATTTTGAAACTCAGCATTGCGAACGTCCTAACACATCCAAAGAAATTGGAAACAGAGTTCCAATCGTGTTTCAAACTCGCTCAGAAATAAAACAGAATAGTCGAGCAGTTGCAAATCTGGTGCAAAATAGTGCTCGAATAATGAAACTGCAACTCAGCATTGCGAGAGGTGCGTTTCTGTTCTAGTTTCAAATTGAAACAGTCCTTATAAAATACAACAGCATTGCGAACGGCCTTAGGCGCTGCTGTAATGACAACGCAACTTGACTTTATGTTCTCAGGCTGTGTTCCAATTGGTGAATTTTCACTTAAATTTGACACTTCGAAAATAAATTAAGATGTTCGAAAATCTCTCTGTTGTCGACCTTCTTCTTTTCGAGAAGGTGTTTGTCAAAATTGATTTCTGGTCTGTCAGAAATAAGTCTGGTACAATAGCAGGTTTATTTGAAAATTTTCCATCTGTCAAATTTAAGTGAAAATTCATCAAATGGAACACAGACTCAGTACAAACACGATGAAAGCTCATATAGATCAGTGCACGGTCCCTAACCTCACAATTTGGTCTTGTTGTATCCCTTTCATTTCACACCAGAGTAAAAGTGATGGCAACAGATAACTAACGAATGTGACCGAAACAAACCACCAAAAATTGTCAACTTTCATATCTACGTGCACTGATCTATCACAAATCTTGATTTCGGTGCTCGATAGGTGATTGACAAGAGAAAGTGCGAGCTTTCATTAGATTTCGTTGTTGAATAAAAATTGTTACCCTTTACCACTTTACCACTTTACCACTCCGAACACGATGTCTCCGGTAAAATGTGTAGCGGAAAATTGGCAATGTTTGAAAAATAATTGCTCTACAATTTTTGATAGATTTTAAATCTATTGATACCGAATAAATTTTTAAAGTATCTAGTTTCAGATGGTGCCAATA